TTCTCGTTCCAGAGTCTGGGAGACGAACTTCTGACAGACAGGCAACGTCTACCTTATAGACCCACAAAGCGGGTGCTGGCAGTGTTTGACTTCCGGCATCAAGCAATGTCCACACATTCCAGCAACCGATGTTCAAGCTGTGTCGCGAATTTAGGGTACTGGCGTGCATATTTGACATTCCGGGCACCAGAAGACCACGGAGCGCATCGCTTCCCGGGGACGCCGTAGCAGTATTGATATCCGTGTTATTCATATTGTCCATGAAGTTTCTTGGGAATTTTGTTTCAGATGACGTCTCCGGTGTTAACTGCCATTGCCCTCTCTGTGCCGTGAGTATACCCACGTTGCCCGCGACCGAGGGTTGGATTTCGGTTCCCTTGGTGGACAATATCATCTACGAACCCGCTCCTCCAATAAGAACAGATAGATGCTAAGCGGTTATGTTGACATGACCCACGAAGTACTTCGGCTTGGCTCCTCGATTAGTTAAATCGGATGCCCTGCTAGACTCATTCGTTGACGACTGTGTAGAAATTAACTATCTGTTCATTGTAATGGGAGCCACTAAGACACTTGCTACTGTTTCGACCACTTCTACAGCATACTTTATTGAATTAATTTTATTTAGGACCTTGAGATTCAGCAAAAAAGCATACTTCGAAAAGCTATCTTTTAATCCTGTAAAAAAACCAAGAACTACCTCGGGTCTGCTGGAAGAGATATCCAAAATTGATAAAAACGCAGTCCTGGAAGAGTCGCTGCTGTCCTCTGTGAGACAGAAGACGAGAGTGAGGAGACCGGTGGCTGCAGCGTCGAGGCCAACCGGTACGGAGGCCGTCAGCATTTCTTGTCGCAGAAGACAGTGGGAACGGCGCAAAATCTCCGGGGCTTCTAACCGTGACTTTGGGTGAGCAGCCAAGAGACAGGCGAAGCCAGTCTGTCGCAGAAGAGGACATATACTTTGGCTAATGTTGTCGGCAGACAATAAGAGCAGCAGCAGGTCATTCAATCGACCATCGACCTCTTGAAGGAGGTTGTTATTGTGGTGGGGTAGAGCACAATTGTTTGGGCCACCACCAACAGCAGCGCTTTCAAGTCCAGGCCAGTATTCGCTGCGCAGGATTTCAAGGAGCTGAAATAACAGAGGATCGATTATGGCATTGAAAGAACATAACAGCATGCGATCGAATTCACGAGTGTCCATCAAATTCACTCAAATGGATATCACGATTCTTTTTTCCCTTAATCAAAAATTAGGAGTTGACTGGCGATTGGGCACAGCTACATGGCACGTATACATACAGTGAAGCCTCGGTTAACGAGTTTAACACCATCCGGCACCGAGCTTGTCATGTGAAATACTCGTCTTGCGAAACGTAGCCAATCGATTTGCGTCAGTTCACTGATTGGCTGCAGGTGACCGGGGACGCATGCCCTAGGAGCAAGACCTAACGGCAGACACAAGCACACGAGTGCACTAACAACTCGGTAACTGAGCGGAAGCTCGTAGAGCGAAACAAATGTTCTACTAGTGGCTCGCTTGTTACCTGAAATGCTCATAGGTGGGGCTGTTCGTCACCTGAGGCTCCACTGCGCCTATGAACCTCAAAATACACCGAAGTACTCACAACTGTCCACAACATAAGCCTGTGAAACACAAGAACTACCATTTACATAAAAGTACAACATGGTGCCCGTGAATGAGCGACGCATTAAAATATTTGTGCGGAAGAATGGCTCTGGATACCGATGCCTTCAAAGACGCCAAAGGACCTATGTAAGAAGATAGGTAGCTAAACTCCATGGTAGAGATTCCATGTAGAGACCCCAACGGCAAAAGTCCTCCAGCTTAAGTGGCTTACGGAATTGGTAGTAAAATTTTTAATGCTTGATTAGTGCACGATAAGTGCATAGTAGGAAATAAGTTAAAGCCGTTTGTATTTGTTTTACTGTACTAAAAACGTAGGAGGAAAGGCTGCGGAAGGAAAAGGACTGTACTACAAACGTAGGAGGAAAGGCTGCGGAAGGAAAAGGACTGAAAAGGAAGCCTGAAGACCAAGAAAACTAATAGAATGACTGCTATTGGCTAACGTAAAGTGTTTAGATATGCAGAAATTTGACCCAGTAAACATTTGCGAGCAGTTCTATTATTCTGCAAATTTTCACATTTTACGATTGATAAGTCATATTGGCAGACATATTTTCAGCAATTCATTATCAGACCAGTATAATTCCAGGGATTAAAACGGTTAGTTATCTGCAGTGTTTAAATAATCTTCGGGGTAGGGGGTGTAATTAGTCATCTCGGTATTACCTCGTCTCATGCATGCTGGCGCAGGCGTGTTGAGGAAGTTGGATGAAGAAGGGATGTTCTCACGGCGTGCGTTTGGCTACTTTCTGTGGCTTGTGGCGTGGGTTCGGGCGGCATGGGATTCACTAGTGTAGTCGGCCAAGGTAGGCAAACTGCTGCCACCAGCACCTTTTAACAGCAGAGTGGACTTTACTAAACGGACTGCCGCTGCTTCGGATGTGGCGAGCACCGTTTTGAGCAGGCCTTTACAGTAGTGTGTAGATGTCTGGTTTATGACATGAAACGCCTATCTCACGTCAACTAGGTGGTTCTTATCGATTAAGTGTGCGACGATTTAAACTGAAATCGACCGATTTTATCGTTTGCCGAGCCAGGCCGGTATGCGTTCACTTACCCT